AAGAGGCAAAAGAGGAAAACTTTGCTCAAGTAACCACCAGATGGGATTTCTACTTAGCTTAAAGACAGCCTGTGCCCCAAGGCCAGACATTCAGCCCTGGCAATCCTCGGACAGTGGAGAAATGGTGGGGCAGGGCCCCCCTGGGACAAGGGAGAAGKGTGAGCTCCAGCACCCCAGGCCAAGGAAAGGCAAATTGCAGCAGGCTGAGTGGTCACCCCCGTCTGCCACAAGCCATCCCCTAGAGCAGCGCTTGTCACTTCAACATTAGCTCAGCCTGAGACAGGAGCTGATGCTGCCCATGCTTCATGCCATCTTGTCCCCAGCCTCTAACAGGGGTGCCTGCTAGGGCCTGCACCTGCTGGAGTAGCTCTCAAATCGGTGATTTTTGCCCCAGGAGGGGAGATAGGCCCGGTCAGACCTGGGGAGCTGGGCATGGCCTGGGAGCCTGAGACTGAAAGACACACCTCTGCTGAAAGAAAAGGAGATGCAGATCTCACAAAGGCATCAGTCCCGGAGCAGCCCTTTAATCCTCGGCAGTGCCACGACCCCTGGCCCTCTCAGTCCTGCAGGGAGCCTCAGTATTAGGGGATTCTCCAACCAAGGGGATCTTCTGAGATGGCCACAAGAGCTGACAGAGCCATGCAAAGAGCCAGAAGAGAGCCAAACACAGATTTGTGGCTAACCTGAGACCGCATCCTGCAGCCTCCTCTGGTAGTACCTGCACTCTCAGGCCTCTCTGCCATGGGGAAAGTGCTCTTGGTTTGGTATTTCTCAGCAAAGCTTCACCCTGCTCCTAACCAATTAAAGCAAAACAAAAGAGGGCAGCTCGTCCTGTGCAGCTTCGTTGTGGCCTGACCTGCAAGAGCAGCCACAACCTGTCCAGGCAGGGAGCGGGCACCCATGTAGCCTGGCACCTTACAGCCCCTCACCTTTGTCTGCCTCACTCCCAGGAACAGGTGAACAAAGCAACAAGCCCATCCCACCATCTGGAAGGAGGAATGGCCATGACAAATCTGCCCATCCCCACAAGGCTGTGCTGGCCAGGGTCTCCAGCTCTTCCCTTGCCTGCTCCCACACACTCCATTCTGCAGGACACAGAGGTGCTCCCACTCCCTGGGTGCAGCCRGGGCTCCCAGCACTGTCACCCGATGATTCCAACAGCGTCCTCCCTCCACACACTGCATCAGCTGCATGGACACAGAGGCCTCCTCCTCAGGCCAGCACCACAGCTACGTCCTACAGGTCTCAGACCGGGAATGATGCCTCAAGTGGCCCTGCCTTGGTCCTCACCTGAGACATCACTTCACAGAGGTGGGTGTCACAAGCGACCAGCCTCAGGGACAGGGTTGCATGCCAGGGAAAACCAGCAGCTTTGCAGGATGGCAGAGCAGCAACACCAGCTTGGACTGGTCATAGGCCTGACCTGAGCTCACCTTTGCAGAGACGGGGGGCGGTCAATGCAGAGCCTCTGGGAATGGCCCTGTGTCCAAGCATCTCCCTTGGACTCCGGCAGTCTCTGCCTCGCACCAGCAGCGGCCACCTCAGTYCTCTGCCAACCTGCAGGTACCTACAGGCCAGGAGTGCCGGGGTGGCTGTATGAGCAAGCTGTAGTCGAGGGTGCTGAGCCAGCCTGGAAACCAAGCCGAGCACAAGCTGGATAAAATACACAGCACRGGGGCCTGGAAAGGGCAAGCAGGAGCTGCTGTGGGCACCAAGAAGCGGTGCCAGCAAGCAGGACACCAGGACAGGGAAGCAATGCTCACAGAGGGCACCTGCCACGAGACTTCTTGCTGCAGGATGTTGTGGTTGCTAAATGCTGACACGGGTTCAAAAAGCTGCTTGATACATTCCTGGAAGGCAAGCGCACTGGAAGCTGTTAAGGGCACGGAGGTGTTTCTGGCRTGGCAGCACGTGAGCTGCCGAGGGCTGGGGCCGAGCGGCGTTGGGGCCGGAGCAGCGCGGGCCGGCACCGGTGCTCATCATCGTGCAGCCGCCGTGGGGACGGACACGGCGTGTGCTGGCACGGTGCTGGCTCCGTCACACCAGCTGCTTGCTTAGACTGCTCCTGGGACAGCTTCYCTGACAGCGTTTGTGCTCTGCGGGGTGGATTGCAGCCGGAGCAAGGGTTACGTCTCTATCAGGGAGCAACCCAGGCAAAATGGCCCCTTTCTCCTGTTGCCTTCCCCAAACGTTGCCCTGTTCCTCCCTTAACCACCTCCATCTCGGCAGARGAGGGACGCTGCCCAAGGAGCTGGCTCCCCCGCATGCCCGCTCCGCTCCCGGGCCACCCCCAGTGCCACAGCCTGTCCCCACACACTGGTGGCTCCCTGGGGCTCCTTGGATTGTGGAGCCCCGACACAGATCCAGGGGATACTCTGTGCACCCCCAGTGCCTCGGTTTCCCTCCCAGCTCTGCCCATGCCAGGCTGTGCTGCAGCCCCTGTGGTGCCGGCGGGATGGGGCTCAGCCCATCCCAGGGTGAACGGCTGTGGGGCACCCTGCTGGCGGATTCACCGTGGGGATGGGGGTGCCATACCCAGCAAGAGGGATGCCAGGATAGCCCAGGCCCCTCTACCTGGCTCTCGTGTTTGTTCCTCTGGCTCAGGAAGCTGTAGGTGTTTTGGCCACCATCTGAGGAGGCACCAATGCCCCTGTCCCCTCTCCAGGCTCTGCTGGAGGTCGCTCTGCCTGGGGAGGCCCCTGCAGCAAGTGGCAACTCCTGACCCACAGCAGGGAGGAGGGCACTATCCTGGGCTGGGAGCAGGGAAACTGAGGCACGGGCAAGGCAGCACGGAGCTGCCAGGAATATTTCAAACCTCTGGAGTATTAACACTGCTGCGAGCCCTCAAGACCAAAGGTAGCGGCGCTATGAGCCAGAGGCCCTGGGATCCTGGAAGCCCCAAGCATGGGCAGCCCTAGCATCAAAGTCCACRGGCAGAGGGGTCCCCAGGGTCCCTGCCCCAAAAGGGCTGGGGCTGGACCACTTCTCATTCATCTGTGGGCAGCCAGGGGAGTGTCTTGTCCCAGGTCCATGGCACTGTGGTACCCATGGGGTGCAGGGGCCTCCTCGCCACACCAGSACACTGCAGGGCCGTGGGCTGGGATGTGACGCTCAGCACTAGCGAAGAGCCGTGCTGGGGCACATGGAGACCTCTCCAGCCTGGCCTGCTGGAGCCTCCTCCGCTCGTGCAAGGGGTCAAAAAGCACCAGACCTCGGCAGAGAGCTGCTGCCTTGGCCTCCCTGGCCAGCAACATGGAACACGACGGGTCAGAGCATCCTCTAGCACTGGGAGCAAGGGGACAGGGTCCTTCTCCATCCCACTCTGCCAAGTCCCAGCCCCAGGCCTTTACAAGGAGCCTTTCTGCCACTGCAAACAAGATTTTGGTGAGAAATGAGGTTTCTGAGCACTAGGGAGAGACTTTGGCCTACTGCATCCCTGCTGCGATGGAGCTGCTGGCAGGGAGAGAAAAACAGGCCCAGAGGATGGAAAAGGGATCGATGTGGGGGAAGCCAGCTCGGAGAAAAATAGATATCTATCTCATTAAAAATGGATGCTAAAGTGAGTCCTCCCCGCTCCAAAGCCACCTCCCTCTCTCTTCCTGGTAGCCAGAGTGAAATCAGCACCGAGCTTCCCGAGGAGGGGAAAYGCCAGCACGACAGAGCTCCCGCCTGGCGCCCGCCGCCGCCACCCCTGCTGTGCACGGAGGGACACGGCGGCTCCGAGCCCCGCAGCCCCACGCGCCACCCGCATGGGGGGCACCAGGCAGCCCTTTGGTGCTGGTGGGTCCGTGCACCCACATGTGGCTTGGGCCAAGCGCTGTGGAGCTGCAGGGTGAAGCTCAGTGCTCACCAATGTCCTGAGGCTGCAGGGCTCCGGCAGCTCCCGAGCCTGGTGTCCTCCTGCCTCAGTTTCCTCCTCCAGAGGAGGCCCAAGGGTGCGGGTGAGCACCCRAGTCCTGTCCTGCCCCACAGCCTTGCAGAAAGATGTTCTCCAATTCAGCCCTGCCAACAGCACTCGCTACTACCCAGTCAAAACACAGCCACCCTGGCACCTCGCTAGCCCTCAGCACCCTCCCAAGTGTCTGCAGGGTCTGTCCCCAACACGACCATAGTGCCACCCACACAGAGCAGGGCTGCACAGGACTCTCCTGGCCGTGATGGTCCCATCCTGTGGGATGGGCTTTCCCCTTCACTCTTCCCTTTGGACTCTCAGTGGCCCTGGAGATCACTATGGCCATGAGGCCAGTGATGGGGACAGGTCCCCCGTAGTGGCTCCCCTTGGCTTGTGTCACCTCTGCGGGGAGGAGAGCCGAGCAGGGGTGCAGGGGTGCAGCCTACACAGCCCTTGGGATGCCAGCCCCATCCTGCCCAGCTGCCCATTGCTGTGGGGCAGCCATGGGGSCTGGGGTGTTTTGGGGCTGGGGGTGGAACCAGGCAGCAGCCAAGCACCAGGTTTGCTCAATCCCCACGGCAGGGCCCTGGCCCCCAGCCCCACTGCCCCCACTGCCGCCTGCACCTCCAATCTCCCCCTCCCACCCCATGGCACCTGACAAGGCAAGTTTCGAGGCCGGAGAGAGGGGTMCAGCCCTGTGCCCCCTTGCACCCCGATGCTGGCAGCCGCACAAAAGGTATCGCTGGGGGCGGCAGAGCAGGGGGGCCAACACGCCGGCCCCTCCGGCCCCATCGCGTTCATGCGCCCCAACCCAACACCCCCCCCCTCGGGAGCCCGGGCAGGGGGCTCGCAGCCCCCCCGGCCGCTGCGGCTCCGCGCAGGGCGCCGCGAGGCACCTGCAGGCGCCGCGCCGCGCGGCACCCACGGGCACCCGGCCCCGCCGCCGTTATATAACCGCAGCTCCATGATGCCGCCGGCCCCGGCAGGGAGGGATGTAATTCCAGCCCGTTCCCCGAGCGGCCGCAGCCGGGGCGGGCCCGGCCGGGGCGCGCGGCCATGGGCGCTTTGTGCCGCGGAGGCTCCGCGCCGCGGGACGAGCCGCTCTTACCTCCTCCGCGCCCCTAGCTCATGCCATGCCTGGCGCGGGCAGCCCGTCCTTTCATGTGCGGAGCGGCGGCAGCGCGAGAAACGGGAAAGGGGGAGGAGAGGAGGAGGAAAAAAGCCGCGGCGGAGGCGAAGGGAGAGCAGCGCCCTGCGCCTGCCCAGCCGGGCCCGCGGCAGCCGCCGCCGAGCCCCGCGCAGCGAGAGCCGCAGGGCGCCGAGCCGGGCCCCGCTCCTGCCCGCCCGGGAGCCGCGATGGAGGAGGCGAGCGGGGCTCGCACACGCGCGCACACGTATGCACAGACACACACACACACGCGCGCACACGGGCGCGCACACGGTGTCAGCACCCGGCCCCGTTAAAGAGACACGGCCCCGGGAGCCATAGGGAAGCGCGGGGGGGTGCAGCCCTGCGGGGGTGCCGAGGGCACGGACACACCGGGAAGGCCTCCGAGCAGAATGCCCGAGCGAGGGGACAGGGGGCACAGGGAGAGCTGGAGGAGTGGACGGACAGAGGGGGGCACTGGCTAGTGGGGGAAGGCGTGAGGACAGGGATGGATGGATAGATGGAGGGAGGGATGGCCCTCCAGCTGCAGGCACAATGGGGCTTGGGGCTCCCAACACGCTGAGGTACTGCGGGTATGTGGGTCAACTGCCTTTGCCAAGGGAAGGGAGCTGTGCCCAGGTGCCAGGCAGCTCCCCCACAGGTGGCCCTGGGTGGTGACAGGACCCCTATCTGAGAGTTGCCTCATCCCGCCACTGCCTCCCATGGGTCCATCTCACCATTTATTTCCTCTCAGAYCTGTGAGCATCTCTCTCGGATGCCCAACACCCCTAGTGAGGAGCTCTGCTCTGCCAGTGCTCCCCAGACTGGAGGGAACTGGTTAGCAGATATCTCCAGCCTCTGTCCCCTCCCCTTGCACAGCCCTATACAAGCCAGCAGAGACCAGCTCTCCTTGGCTGCCAGCCGGGCAGGGCCCAGGGGAGGCTGATSTAACTGCCCGCATCCAGCCATGCTCCCTGCTCCATTATTTACAAGGCAGGTCGGGTTTCTTGGGGGCAGCTCACGGGGTGGTTCAAGGGGAGGAGACGGCTGAGCAGACAGGGCCACCATCCCCTCCACACGTGATCCCGCTCCTGGGCACCATGGACTAGCTTGGCCCCATTTCCCCAGTGCCACCACAGATACTGCATCCCTWCAAACCTGTCCTCACACCATCCCAGTGTTCTAGGATCCTCTTGGGTGCTGGGCTCGTCTGGCCTGGTAGAAAATCCTTGAGAGATGGTGGATGACTCCAATAAAAATCCTCCATGGATGAGAGCAGAGACAAGTAATCAGGAGGGAGGAGAGCACAGGGTCCAAAGATGCATAGAAAGAGGCACCAGGTCTGCATGTGCTGGAGCAGCATCTTCTCTGGCCTCTGCTCAGCTGATAGAAATAGAGAAACCAAGAAATGTGTGACCAAGGAGCACCTGGGAGCTGGGGAGAGAACACCTGTGCTGGGAGAGACGCAGCGTGTTCCAGGTGCCAGGACAGCTCACAGGACCCCATCAGCCACCACACAATGACAAGGGGCTGCACTGGGGAGCAGACACCAGCTCCTCCATGGGCACTCAGAGCCAGGCTTGGAGACAACCTGAAATGAGGCAGCTGTTGGAGCAGCCAGACCTGGAGCTGGTCCTGTGCGGAGCTGGGAAGCTGCCCTGCTGGGCCCTGAGAAGGGGCACAGAGCTGGGGCCCCCAGGGAACCTGCATCCACGTGTGTGCCCCATCCTGCCTGGGCAGCCCCTGTGGGTGGCTCTCCACTCAACACAGAAACCCCACTTCCTCCCACAGAAACGCTCCCCACTGCCAACCCATCATGTCTGGACCCAGCTCCTACCGGCCCCAGCTCAGCTCTGTGCTAGGTGGATGCAGCCCCAGGGTGTCCGACAATCCTGGGGGTGTCCAGCTGCCCCAGGCTGCCTCCTGGTACACAATCACCTTGTGATGTCTATCTGCCCTGGCRTGTCCAGCAGTGTTGGGTATGTGGCCATTCTGGGGTATCTGACAATTCCAAGGCGTCTGGTTGTCCCATTGTATCCACTCTGGGCTGTGTGACCACCCTRGCATGTCTAACACCTGGAGGGTCTGACCGTCCAGGGCCTGCAGCCACCACAGCTCTGCCTGGAGCGGCAGGAGACCCGGCTGCCCAGCTGTGCTGCAGCCAGATCAGGAGCATTTTATTCCACCAGTACATGGGGCCTTGTTGCTCCCCAGATGCCCCGAGAGTGGGAAGGCAGCACTGGGGACACAGGGCTCGGCACTGGCAGARGCTCCAGGCCAAGATGCCGGGAGAAGCTGGTCCAGCCCAGCGAACAGCGAGGGCAGGGAAAGYAGCTCCTTTGGAGGCTCATCTTTATGCAAACCGCCGGCATCTCATTGGCCTGCGCTAGAGCCCCCGTCCCTGCAGTCACATGCCTGACTTGTGGAAACAAGGAATGGGCACGTGCTGAGGAGAAGGCCTCCCTCCTCCTCCTCCTCCTCCCACTGGCTCCATCAGGGACACCGCGTGGCTGGGCCGGAGCGGCACGGGCCCGTCCRGCTGGACCGCGATGCCAAAGCCGGACTGCAGTGCAGGCAGCGGCGTCGCCGCGGCAACCGCGGTCGCCTAGCGATGGCCGTCTCCGGGCAACGCGTCGCCTAGCGATGGGGGATTTGCAGTGCGCGGGATGAGGAGCCACGGGTTATTTTTAGCCGGGCTGCAAATCAATAGGCAGCTCCATGCGCCGCCGGGGAGGATGCACGCGCGGGGCCGCCGCGCGCTGCTTTGGTGGCAGCCAGTGCTGGCGGGAGGAGGGYGCCCGGCCTCCCACCAGGGAACAGCCCCCCCGCAATGGTCCCCATACAGGGCTCAGATACCTCCCCAGGGGTCAATCACCCTGCTGGGCTCAAATCCCCAGCCAAGACTGAGCCCCCAGGACAGCCCAGACAGGGCTCAGTTCCCACCCCAAGGCTCAGCACCCTTGGACTCCCATCCAGCACTCCATCACTCTATGCTCCTGACCCAGGGCTCAGCTTCCCCTGTGACTCCCTCGAGGCTGAGCTCTCTGGATCCCCTTCCCACATGATCAGATGCCTCCAGGCCTTGGGCTTCTCCCAAGGCTCAAATCCCCCAGGATTCAGGGAGCAGAGGGAGGCCCTGTCTGTGAGTCTGCTTGTCTGGCCAGCTAGGACCTCTCTTGCCCATGGGAGCCCTCACCTAGCTGCGGGACTCCTCACCTGGCTGCAGGACTCCTCACCTGGCTGCAGGACTCCTTGCCCCACCATGGAGAACCCAATGCATTTTCATGGGGACCCTCATGCAGCCATGTGGCCACTCTCCCTGCTGGGTGCAGGTTGGCTCCCCTCAGCAGCCCCTCAACAGGAGGATGAGAGATTCTGCAGTGTCTACCAGGATTGTGTCTACCCACAGGAACTGTGTGCTTGGTTTTATGAGGACAGGGTGAAGCAACAAGGGAGCTCTTGGGCTTTGGGGGTTCTCAGGCAAGGATGCTCTAAAGCGATTCTGTTTTGTGTGAGCCCTGGAAGCTGGGCAGGAGAAGCACCCCTGCCCCGTGATCTTCACTGCAGCGGGAGGCCAGGATGCTGCTCAAACAGGCTTGGGAGTGAAGCTCCGCTGGGAGGTGAAGTGAGGCTTTCTGAGCTATATTTTAAGCACAATGTGGGTGCCTGATGCAGCCCGCGCTTGGCAGGCATGCTCAGCACAGCAGGAAAACCTCCCCATGCAGGGATGAGCCCAGCGGGATGAGCACTGGAGAGCTCCCAGTGCTGCACCCTGGGGGAAACTGTCCCCAGCCCCTCTGAGGCTGCCCCATAGGGCCAGACTCCAGCCCCATGAGGCAGGTTTGCTGGACCAGCCTCCATCTCTATCTCCTCCAAACCAGACAGCCCTGCTTGCCTTTCCCAGAGGTTTTCTGTTCCCTTCCTCTGGAGATGGGGAGCCCTACCCCATGCCAGGGCTTTGTAAGGTTTTTCCTCCTCCAGAGTGGGGGCCCTGGCAGTGTCACCTCCCCGGCCCCAGCCTACAGCAGCAAGACATGAAATCTCAGCCGTCACCTCCCAGCAGGGCTGCAGGGAAGCTCGGAGCTGCTCCGGCACCCAGCACTGGGACGGCAGCTGCCAGCACCATCCTCAGCCCTCTGGTGCTAGGCTTGGGGTGAGGCCCAGGCGCATGGTGTGTCCTGGCAGAGATCCCAAAGGGGAGGCTTGGAAAAAGGAGCCCAATGGGGCTACCCGGGAGAGGCGAAGTCCCGCCGAGGATCTGCAGCCTGGCGGGGAGAACGGGCCAAGCCGGTCGGTACTGCATGGGGGCCGGTCCCATCGCTGCGCTCTCCAGGGCCCAGGCGTCCGGCCCCGGAGGACCCGGCTGCAGCCGAGCCAAGCCGGGAGGGGCCCGGGAGGGGCCGGCCGGGCCGGAGGCAGCCGGGCCGCGGTCACAAGGGGGCACTGCGAGCCCGCGGCGGGCGCCGAGCCGGGATGCGGCCGCGCGGGGCGGGCAGAGCCCCGCAGGACCCCCCCGCTGCTGCCGGGGCCAGCCTGTGGCCGGGGGGGTGTCGAGCGACCCCTGGTTGGCTGCGATGCGTCCCCTTGTGCCCCCTTTCCACCCCCCAGTGCCCCCCACTCAGCACCAGCCCCACCCGGCTGCCCCCTCCCTGCCGAGCTCGGAGCGCGGTCAGGGCGAGGTGAAAGTGGCAACGGGGGTGATGGATGAGGGGAGGGATGAAGCCCGGAGCCACCCGCCAGCTGGAGGCCGGGGCTGGCGGAGGGTGACACGGACACTGGTGTGAGCCCATGGCCCAGTGCTCACCCCTAAGCCAGCCGGTGGGGAGCCCATYGCTGCTCCCACACAGAGCAGGTGCCAGCCCTGGCAGCACGTTGGGGAAATTGAGGTAGATGGCAAGTCCTGGCCTGGCTGGAGATGGTGGGATCGACCCCAGCTCTGCCCATCTACAACCAGGGAGCATCTGGGCATCCTGTGAATTGTCACCAGCTTTGCCGGAAGCACAAACTGTGCCGGTATCCAAGGTATTCAACCACGTTTCCACTTGCCACGACCCCACCAGGTTGGGCATCTGGAGAGGGGTTTCCCAGGGCTGTTTTGGGAATTTGGGCCAATGTGAGGGAGCACCAAAGCATCCCTGTGCCGCTGGGGCCAGAAAGAGCTGCCAGCATCACTGGAGAGCCAAAGCCTGGGCAGGAAGGGCACCCACGGGAGGGAGCGAGGCAGGCGCTTGGCTACCCAGTAACCCCCCCCCAGCCCTGCTTCCCCCAGCCAAACAACAGGGCCAAGGCTGCTGCTTGGCTCCTCTGGGAAAAGCTGGAGCTCGAGCCTGCCCAGATCTGCTGGGAAAAGCTGGAACTCGGACAGCGGAGCCCTGCGAGCAGTCCCAGATGGGCAGCGCTTCAGCGTGGGCGGCTCGTGTGGAGGCCAATGCAGGAGCCAGCGGCCCCAGCGCCCCCTCAGCTCCCCCGGCCCCCCAGCTGGCAGGGGTTGAGGCTGTTGCTGAGGCTCTGCATATACATCCCCTTAAGGTGGAGCGGGGGGTTCCCGCGGGCAGCCCTGAAGCAGGGACACGGGCTGCATGGGCTGCACGGCACCACAGCCTTGTGCTGCCCTGGCTGGCAATGGCACCAACATTTTCTCCTTTGCTGCTTGATTTTCCAGGTGGATCAAGGAGTTCAGCTGACTCGCCAGGGCACAGGCTGGGAGGGCAGGATTTGTGCAGCACTGGGAGGACACGGTGCCYGAGCTGGAGGCAGCAGCTGGGGCCGTGGCTGCCCGCAGGCGCCTGGCGGCCTCGGCCACCTGCAGCTCCGCATGGGCCTCTGCTCAGCCCTGCCCTGCACACCTGGGAACGTCCTGCTCGCCCCGGGACCTCCTGGACTATACCTCCCCATAGGCTCCCAGCATCTCCAGCTGCTCCCGCTACCATCCGAATTCTCTTTACGCGCACAGGAGCGCCTGAGGTGCCCCTGTCCGCTCCACCTTAAACTGGGCCCGGAGCAGGGCTCCGCCAGGCGCCGGGGGCCCTCATTTTCCATGGATTCCAGCGGATTGACTTCTTTCAGTGTCATTTCATGGCCGGAGGGCTCTGAATCCCGCTTTGCCTCCGCCCGGGCGGCCCCAGCCCCCTCCCTCCCACTTTCTCTCGCCGTCGGGATTTACAATCCCTCATTCCCATTCCGCTCCACCCTCGTGCGGGCACTTTGTTCCCTCGCCGGTATCGTGGCATCCCGATTGTCTGCTGTTTATTTCAAACATTTTGGCGGGCTGTCACCAGATGAAACTTAATTAATTGCAGGGTTTGTGGTTCGGGTACAATGGTGTCTACGGGGAAAAAAAAAATAAATGAAATAATCGGGAGCAGATCGGGAAGGAGAGGGTGGCAGAGGGCTCTGCTCTTGAACCAAAGCAGATGCTCTCTGGGGTGATCCCCGAGACCGAGCGGCCCCTTGGGGCACCCGGGACGCGTCAGCGGGACAAACGCTGTCGACAACCCATAGAAATCGACCAGGGGAACTGAGGCAGAGTCCAAACGCACCCTGGAAGCTCGGGTTCCGTGCCCATTACTATCCAGGGATGCAAATAGACCGGGATGGCCCCAGGAGCGGCAGGTCCAGGACAGCCCGTGCCCGGGGGCTGGCCCACGGCTGGGTGCCCGGCGCAGGCTGCGTTACTAGCGCATAAGGCGCCCGCTCCCAGTGGGTCGGGGGTCTGCAGCGGGCTCGGCGCCCACGGCAGCGCTCGACTTGGGATGCAGCCCCACGTGTGCCCGGGGGTGCCCGTGGCCTTGGAGTATCCGTGGTCTTGGGGTGCCCGACGCCCCCGCCCCGCATACAGGACCCCCGTGTTCCCCTGCCCGGACAGCGCGGGGGTCCCGGGGCCGCGCGGGGGTCTCGGGGCCTCGCCGGGCGCAGCCCCCCCCGCGCCGCCGGTCCCGCCCCGCGCCGCC